AAACAAATAGCACCCTGTGGGTAATCAATAAATGTTGACTATTGAATGAATAAATGAAAGGAATGATTGGATAAATGATGAATATAAATGTTAATTTGAAGTGGATCTTGAAAAATGGATGGGGTTTAGCAGATGACCCTCGAAATAAAAGTGTAAAGTATTTTTAAATCTAACAGTTTGTTTTTCTCCCTGAACAATCTCTTTTATTAATTCTACAAATATTGATTGAAGAATACCTGCTAAGGGCAAAGCCCTTGAGAATTAACATTCTATAAGGCAGTGCTTCCTAGAGTTGAAGACTATAAAGTACACTAAGTCACTGCATCCACTAAATGTGCCTATTATCATCTGTGCATGAAAGTCCTTTTAAAAGTTAATGGGATACGAATGCATATAGCAGAATAAAAGAGAGAAATACCCAGACTAAATTACACAAGAATTTATAACACTCTGCCCCAGTATGTCGAATCAAGGGATTTGGGTTATTGAAAATAGCATTCTAATGAAGTCTTTTCATCTGTTCTACACATCACTGTCCTTTCATTAGCTACACATTGGAGAGGAGAGCATGGCCTATCACCAATATGCTAATCCTTTATTTGAGAAGGTCCCTAGGTCTTTATGTCCCCTTTAAGTACCTTTAATCTTCTTTAATTAACTATGAATTTCTTAATTTGTATTGTTTATTATTCTGTCCAATTGGCTCTCCTCCTGGCCATCTGCTCTACTGTATATTTTATAAGTGATCCTCATATATTTTAGAAGCCATATCACTCTAGTCAACAATTTATGCAATTATTTCTAAAATGACAGAGCATCAATTTCCATTGCCTGAAAATTTAATATTTGAATGATGTAGATCTAAAATTTTTCTTTAATCATCCATTTATCACTAAGCTTTGAACAAACATCTAATTTTATTAAATTCATAGTTCCAGGTTTTTGGCAAGTGGGCTTTATGTATATATTAGCAACCTGAGTTTCCACAGTGTTCTAATGGGGTCTGATTAATTGTAAAAACTGAAATTTCACTGACTCTGAGACACCTGCCAAAGCTGAAATTTAGCCCTTTAAAAAGTTTCTCTCAGTCACGCTCAAGTATTTGAGGAATCCTCGGGAAATATTTTCCATATTCTCAAAAGGAAATATACTCCAACAGGGTGTTAATTGTGCTCTGCCATTTCTTGCTACAAAATATGACCAACACATGGAGCTCTCAGAGTCTATTGCTATGGGAATAGATAGAAGGAAGTAATGTCACCTACTTTGTTGGTGTGGGGCTAATGTGAGAGGCTTTATGTCCCAATAATCTACACATTTTAGTTAAACAAGTCTGTTTTTAATAAGTGCATTTTATTCTTAACACACAGGGGTATGTTCATGGATCAGGCGTGTATTCCAATGAACATTTACAAAGTCTCCAAAACAAGCTGTCTCCTCTAAACCAAAATTTTGTTGCTGGGAAAAGTTTATTTCCCTGATGCATTTCCTTATGGTTAGTTCTTCCCCAGGGATCACCTTACTGCCTCAATTAATGTAATCTGATGCCTCCTTCAATGGCCCCTGTCTGCACTGCTTTTTGCCATATTGAAATGCCAGCTGTGTGGAAGACAGAATCCTTGCTACATTTATAATGTTTTGATCTTGAATGCCTTCTTTCATATAATAAAATTATTTACAAAAATTAACAAAACACAGTTAATCTGCTTCTTTCTGAATGAAAAACAACAAAAATAAAAGTTACATAAATATTACTCAAGCCTTGTTAGAAACAGCTGCCCCAAGTGCATTGATTACTTTGCCATTTTATTTTAGAGCTGGGAAAGATCTTGGATAATATCTACAAAAGAGAATATTTGGGTCTAGAAAAATCAAGGGAACTCTTAAAAATCATACAACTGGAAAGTCAAATATTTGTTATCATAGTCACTTGGAAAGATTAGAAAAATAAACCATTAAAGAACAGGCTAGGAAAAGTCCCTCATGAACTTCAAGGCCCTGGGAGACACTAGCACCAAGCCAGAAATGGCAGTGTAAGTTAGGCAAGCCAAAGACAAACTCAACGCATATCACAGTTTAGATTTTTTTTTTCCCAGAGAAGGCTTGTAGTGAGAAACATTGCCCTCCAAAAATTATACTGAGTCTTTCATGGCCTTATTCCATGCCCTACACCAAATTTTAAAGGCTCTACGACCATACAGTTATTATCATTCAGTAAAATTTCTATGTGCCCGCTCCCTTTCCTCCAAAATGTGGTCTTAAGGAGGTGTTTTGTTTTCTTCTATATTTATTGTATGGTGCCAAAAGACAGGTCAAAGGACATCTTAGAAATTCTCATGGGCTAAGAAAAGAGAACATATTTCAGTGTCTTCTAAAAACAAAAGGACTTTGGGAATGGGAGCAATGAATTTAGTCTCTGACAGCTTCTCCGTTTGTGATGGTTATTGGTTACAGGGCTTTACTGCTACCTGGAAGTGTAAATTGCACCCCTGAGATTGTTCTGCACGTAACCTTTAACTCACTCTTGATAGCAAACAAATGAAAGAGAGGCAATACTATCAGATGTGATGATTTATTTTTAAAGCACAAGTTTTTTGTTTAATATAAATGTAAAAACATAACTTTCCCTTCAAGCCAGCCAGGTAGTGTAGGTAATTTATCAAACCAAAAGCACTGGAGCTCTGCAGTAAGAAAGGAAGAAAATACATTTGTGCTCAAGTAATTGTCTTTCTCTGCCTGAACTCTAGTAAGATAGATTCAGGGCATAGGTAATGCCAAATAATGATTACAGTCAAACAAAGAAAATCCTTAGTGTAATTAGTCTAATTTCATTTAATCTTTAATTGTCAGAGGTGCTACCACACAACTTACGTTAAGTTTCTTTTTGCTCTTTGAACTGTTTTGTGATTTTTTTATTTCTTCAAGAAGAAAGACCCTTGTCAGCATCTCATTCACATAATGAATACAGCCCTTTCAAAAGCCATTTTTGCCCTTTGTCTCCTTTGACCAAAGCTATTTTATAACCTTTGACAAATCCTGCCCTTATTCGAACCTGATTCATGTAGCCACTATGGAAAGTATCAGTTGTGTTGTGACTAGCCATTCATCCACTCAAAGAATTTATTCGGCACTTACTATATGCAGGGAAATATTCTAGAAGCTGGAAATACAAGGATTAACATAAATTTCAAGATCCTTGATCTCATGAAATTTAAAATTAGTGTGAAGAGACGAGTGAGGAGATGGGATTAAATAAAAAAGATAATTTTAAATGGTTAAAGGGACAGAGGGAAGGGATGGCAGCTATTTTAAAGTAAGTGGAGAGGTCAGGCGTGGTGGCTCACGCCTATAATCCTAGCACTCTTGGAGGCTGAGGTGGAAGGATCGCTCAAGGTCAGGAGTTCGAGACCAGCTCTGAGCAAGAGCAAGACCCCCTCTCTACTAAAAATAGAAAGAAATTAATTGGCCAACTAAAAATATATAGAAAAAAATTAGCCGGCCATGGTGGCGCATGCCTGTAGTCTCAGCTACTCGGGAGGCTGAGGCAGGAGGATCGCCTGAGCCCAGGAGTTTGAGGTTGCTGTGAGCTAGGCTGACTCCACGGCACTCTAGCCCGGGCTACAGAGTGAGACTCTGTCTCAAAAATAAATAAATAAAGTAAGTGGAGAGATAAATCTTCTCAGAGAAAGTAATATCTGAGCTGAAATCTGAATAGTAAAGAGATCTAAGTGAAAATATTTGGAGTCAAGGGAATAACAAATGCTAAGACCCAGAGTCAGGAAAGAGCTCACCATGTATGGGGACTAGAATTGGGGTCAGTGTGGTTGAGCATAGTGAGTGAAAGGGAACCCCAGAAATGGGCCTCTGGGACCAGACCAAACAGCCTTGAAGATCATTGTATAGAATTAGATTATTTTGAGAGTCAATAGGCAGAGATTGGAAGATTTTAAACAAAGAAGTGACATGGAAGTCTTCAGGAGGAAGAAGAAAAGAGAAAATACAGGAAATTTACCACTAAGTTTTGTTTAAGTGTTTGCTTGTTTGGGCCAACATTTTAAAGTGTAGAAATTTAACAGAATGATGATATAGCACATCCATTCCGCAAATTGATGCCTTCTTACTGTTTTTAAATAATTCACCTTGTTCTATCATCTTCTTTTGAAGGTGTATAAAATGGAGAGAGTATGACTGCCTGGTAACACAGACACTCCCAAATGTGCTTAGTGGAGACTGAGTAAAAGAGATAACCTGAACCAAGAACCTGAACCTTAGGAACAGGGAAAAAGAAAGATAAATGTTACAAAACCTAAAGGATAGTTTGAATCATCAGGGAGATTAACTTGATAAATAGACCTTCCATTCTCCAGCAAATACGGAAACCTATATAGGCTGATCTTCATTATCAAAATAACAATCAAGTTTCAGAGCAAATGTATATTTTCAGCTGTTTTGCCTTTACATTCTTCAAACATGCACTCACAATAGAAAGCAAGTCAAATGAGAGAACTATTACGTTTGAATTAAAATTTTATATATCACACTTCAAAATCGGAAATAACTGTAATGTTAAAATATTTCAAAGCACAAAAATATTAAGGAAATAGACTTTGTATTAAATCTTTTCGTCTATTAAATTCTGTATCATTTTCTACACATTCTTAGAACAATGGGAAAAAATACGCAGGAAATTATTCCCAGAATTAGATCAAAAAAATTTAAGACCATTTTCTGTGCAATTTACCGTACATTTTAAAAACAACATTATTTTATCACTGGAAGCCTGTAATAAATTTTGAGCTACATTTTAAAGGTATATTTCTACTCAAAGATATAACGGGTCTGATACACATTTTGAATGCTGACTGTGTCAAAGGAATTAGAGTAGATAGAAAGACTAGCTCAAAGTAAGAAGAACTGGTCCTTTGAATGACTGTTTTATGAGATATCTCTGCAAATATGGTACCACAAAATGCCTAAAAAGAGTTGAAAATTCAGCTTACCTGATTCTCCTTGTGAATCTTCCATCTCCTGGTTACACTCAGAATATCTGTCATTTTCTTGTCCTTTGGGTCTTTTCAATTCTAAAACCCAAATATCTTAGTGGTTTAGATGAGACCCTTGTCACACCACTGTCACTGGTGTGTTTAGGATTGGCAGGGACTTAGCCTGTTCATACTGCCTTTCCACTACGATATTCACTACTACACTCTGTTCTTCCTTTTGATCTGAAAGATTAAAGAAAGATACAAATACTAACCACTGGCCATGCCCAAGAATCCCTCCATAGTTTTACCATTAGTAAAAGCTAAGTAAATTTGAATTGAATTTGAATTCTTATTGACTACTTATAATAAAGGATACACTGTATATAATTTATAAACTATAGATACAGAAGAATCAAAACACTAAAGATAATTTAAATATTTGTTTCTGTTCAAAATGTTAGCAACTTAAATTCAGTCCATCTTCTACAATGTTTCTCTGATAGGTTCTATTATTCTGCCTGGGAAATGGGGCCTGGCATTAAATTGATATGTCTCTGAAGAAAGAACAATAAAGAGTTGGTAACTCACTAATTAAGAAGAGGAAGAATAATGTAGAAGTTTAGCATGTAGACTTTGGAGGCAGGTCTCCTGAGCTGGATCCTGGCTCTTCTACTTAATTGTCACTAGCCTCTATTGCTGAAGGCTTTTTATTTGTAAAATGGGATAATAGGACCTACACTATAGGGTTTGGTAAATAATTAAATGATGATATATATCACATGTTGAAAACTATTCTTGGAATGTCATAGAATTCATATATACCTGTTAGCCATTATTTTTAAAGAATTAACAGTTAACAAATGACCAGAAGTTGTGCAACATCATTAAAAGTCAATTTGTGGAGTAAACATTTAAGGAAATGTAAGTAAATTCCATGTAAAATTACTTTAAAAGTTATTGTGAGATTGTATAAAGTAAAAAAAAATCCAAATTTTTTTATCCTAATTATAATTGTGAAAGAAATGAAAATAGTAAATAAACCTAATAAAGGCAACTACTAATAAATTTGTTGATGTCAAATAATGAAACAGGAGATACAGTCGTAGTAAAATGGTAACATGAAGAATCATGTATAAACTTAAAGAGGGTTGATTTCAAATCTAGGCTCCATAATAACTACATTTTATAGGGGCCTTTTTGCTATAAAATGGAAACATTTTTAAAATTTCTCATGAGTTTGGAGTAAGAATCGACAACATGTATATAAATAGTATTCAGTTTCTGCCACATAGTAGGCATTCAATACAAATTTTTCATTCTGCTCTTTTAAGATTGATATCATTGATGTCAGCCCAACATCAGTCTGTGGTACCATAGTTAAGGCTGAGTGGACAACTGGTCAACCCTAGGAAAGCACTGACTATTCCAAATATTTATTTCATCAGGTGAAGGCAATAGGAGTAAACTTCATGTCCAAAAAAATACAAAAGGTAAAAAAGAAGAGGAAGATTCTCCTGTCTAGGGCATCAGATATTTTTTTTCCCCCAAGATTATATAGATTGATGTAACTTGCCCAAGATCCACAGAGTTTAGTGAAATATGATGGCCTTTAGCAGACTGGATCGTCCTCAAGGATTATCACAGACCTCAAGTGCATTGAACTGAGACAGATCTGGCAAGACAGAGCAAGCACAAGGCAATTAAAAATGAATCAGTAAGTCTTTCTAAAATGTAGAAACAGCTGCCTCTCCTTCCTGTGTTTTTTTTTTTTTTTTTTTCAGTTTGGTGTTTGTGGAAGTAAGCACACTTTTGTATTTACTTCAAGCAGATTCTTCTGCTCTGTTACATAATGATATGGGGGATTGCCGGGGTAGAGTATAGGAGGACAGATGTGAACCCCAATAAATATCCCATTTTACTGAGGACAGAGTCAAAGGAAATCTGGCAAATAGAATTTTCATAGGCCTACTCATCTGTGCAAATATTTGCATGAATGCTGAATCTAGAATAATGTCCTATAAAAATATGTGAGCTACATGTTTCATTCTAGAGTTATTTTGTAGCATCATTAAAAAGTAAACAAATAAAATAACTTTAATAATATATTTTATTTAACTCAATATTTCAAAGATATTTTTAAGATGTAATCAATATAAAAATTATTGAGATAATTCACATTTTTTCTTCTGCACTAATCTTCAAAATCCTGTGTGTATTTTGCACATACAGCACATCTCATTTCAGACTAGCCATATTTGGTTAGTGGCTAACATATGAACTCAGAACCAGAGAGTTGAAATGAAATAATAATAGGCTGGGTTTTATTATCCCTCTTTAATGAACATATGTCTGAGCTTAGCAAGAAATACATAAAAGTACTACCACTTGCTATAACAAACCCTATCTTATTTTTTTAGTTGGTTTTTCATATATTTCAATCCTAGACACAAACTAAGTGGCTTTTATGGCTGTAATTGTCTTATCTGATATCACCAGTGAGAATCTTCAAGTAGTGGGCTCTAAAAGAAACTCAGAAGTACAAGATCAAAACCAACACTGAGCTGCCTTTCAAATCATCCAGAAATGCTTTATACATGTTAATTTACAAGTTCATAAGAAGATAGAGATTTGCTGAATTCATGAGAAAATGCATGATGTTTAATTTATAATTAAATAAAATTAATATTTTATAATTTGTATTCTTGCTAAAGATTGTATTATATTAAGCAATTTTAAATCAGTAGAAAATGATAGATTGACATATAGATAGATGTTACTATGGGTTATATAAAACTCCTCTTTCAAGTGAAAATATTTAATTACAAATATCTATAAATACTTCTAAATCATTCAGTTAAGCATAGGGACTGTATTGTTGAGACAGACAGATGCATGGAACAAAGAAGTCCAGGAGGTACAGTGGAGGTTAAAAATTAGAATCTTAAACTCATTCCTCAAATTTCTTCAAGACTGTGTAAATCTTTATGTTTTTCAATTGTTCAAAACTTGAGAAAAAACATTGTTATTTTTACTTCTGATCATATTCTACTGAAGCAGGAAATCTTAAAACAATCATTACAATCTCATTGTCACGTGTCTACACTACGGTTACTTGCTATTGCCTCCTATTTTTTCCCCACGTTAGTTTATCCAGAACACTACTTCAAGGTCTCTTTCTAAGATACAGTTTTTATTACACTATTCCCCCACACAAGGGCTTCCTTTCCACCATCAGATCACCTCCAAACTCTTTGGTATTCTAAATCTTCCATGGGTTGCCCACACCTAATAATGTCTCCTGACTCACCTTCTCACCAGCCACTCTTCTTTATATTTCTACACATTCTGTAGCTAACAAATTATTTACGCCCAGAGTCTATGAGAAATGGTGGAGATAGACATGCCAAAGTGCTCTATGAAACTTCACTCTGTCCTTTCTGAGACCAGCCAGGGTGACCATGAATCAGCAGGAACAGACATTCACCCAAACCTGGCCAGGGAACAGCTATAAATGTGAATGAAGAAATTATGGGATCAAAAACACAGGTATAGGCAATTTGATTTTATGGGATCAAAAATACAGAATGGAAATCTGTTCAGCTGACATGTTAGAAACTCTTGCCAAAAATTGAGTAAGTAGGTAGATCCTGAATCACTGCAGGGCTGCCCAGTGCTAAGAATTTTTAGTGATATTTGAAGGTCTGTTTTGTCAAGGTCAGAGAAATATAGCAAATTAAATTACCTGTCCGGGCACATGAATTAGCCTTGGGAATTTTAAGAAAAGAGATTTTCTAGCATACACAGAGACATTTCAGATTATTCAAACTCACAGCTAGATGCTAATTTCTATTATTTTAACATGCAGTCAGACCTAGGTATTATTAAAATGAAGTCAAAAATATAACATAGACAACTTGCATTCCAAGCCAGGGAGCTACCTTTATTCCGAGAGAAGGTCTAATGTCAGTACCATAATTAAATAAAGGAGTAAATCTGTGAAAATGGGTCTGGCTACACTATAAACTCCATGAAAGAAGGATTGTGTCTGTTTCATTCCCTGCTAGATTCCCAGTGACTAGAAGAGACACTCATCATTTTTCTTTCAATTCTTTCAGTCATTCATGACTGATTAATGAACAATCTAGATGACAAAAGTGTGCTGCTGAGTCCTAAGCCATCGGTAGCATTTTTCATTGCCCAGTGCATTACTCTACTTTCTAAGAGTCAAATGAACAATATTCTAGAAAAAGAGATTTGAAATTTTTGCTCACATAGCTACAGGTTTTGAATGAACAATGGAGTGTTCTTTACAGAGAATGCTGGTATAATGTGTGCCCAAACAAATTAAAAATATCAACATGTAGTTTTCAGAATTTTAGGCTAGCTCTAGGTAACTATATGCATTTGGATAATATGTAGTTTTCTAATTTAGAGTTGAGTTTTTCTTTCTTTTGGAATTATCAAAAAAGCTGTGTGTTTTTTGCCAGGGTTAAATACATGGAGAAGGCTATATAAATTTTATTTACTATAGGTATTGCTCTTTCCCAATATAAAATTCTATATAAGAGAGTCATTCCTTTACTGAACAGGGAAAAATAAACCATTTATAACAATGATGCCTTAAAAATAAGCACTCAAGTGAGTTATATTTGGCAAATACAAGGTCTACCATAAGGTAATCATATTAGAATTCCTGGTGCCTAGAATATAAGCATTATTGTATATCTGATATCATTGTGGTCCCAAAAATTATATCAAGCATTGGTATAAATATTTTCCTCCACTGTTTTTTTTTATTCTTAATATGGATTGCTGATCAAATCCACCAGGATTATTTGTTATAAAAGTAAAATTGACATACTGGTCAAAACAATGTGATAAACATCCCTCCTCCTTCCCCTAATACACATACCTACACACACAAACACACAGGCACACATTTTATTACAGGAAATGTAAGTCACCTATTAGTGGCTGAGACCTACCATAATTAGGCATATATTAATATTATAGGGTGTATTATCTCATTGACTTTTCACATAAAGGAGATATAAGTATTTCCATTTTACAGATGAGAAAAGTAAGTCCAGATACATAAGGTGGTTTTGCAAAGGTCACCATCTAAGGAAGGTGGAATCAGTGTATTAATTCGAGCGCTTTGCTTCTAAAGCTATATATTTCTACTTTATGTCCTTCCTTTTTCCAGCCCTTTGTCCCTGAAACATATCAGGGAATCACAA